CCTTCATGGGTTCTTGTAGAAAAGATTCTACTTTTATTCATGTTTGGGTTTTTTTAATCATTGCTCTAAGTTCAGCAGCTCATACAATTGTTGTTGTGTGGACGTACATGGCATGTCTTTTCAACTTGAACTAAAGAACTATTTTTTGAAAGTATGTAATTTGATTTGCTAATTCTCTGAAACGACAGAGCCACGAATGTTTCCCTGATACAACCCTCATGGTTTTGATTGATTTATCTGAAAACAGTTCAAATATTCAGGACCTGAGCCATTCTTTCTCACTGCCCTTATAGTCAACAATTTGTTAAGTAAAGTTGTCTTGAAGAGTAAATCAGTCACAAAGACGCCTTAAATTTAGTTAACTTCTAATGTTTATTGTTGTTTTCATCTTTCTGCCTAAAATAAAATAATGACGGTCAACTCACACCTCTGTGACCCTTTATGGAACTGTTTGGGGCTGCACTGTGTTAAATGATGGCAGCCACCGATGTAATAATTCTGTACGCGTGTTTGGCCATTTCTTAGACGGATTCTATTATTGTTCTGCTGCTTTGACCAGGTGATTCCGTACGCGTTTCGCTATTTTTTAGGCTAGAGAGTTATTTACTGTCCTGCGGCCGCAGTGACTCCGGACAGGGCTTGTCCGAGAGCTTGCTGTAGATTCTGGGCGAGTGCTTGACCGGCACAGGACAGGGGGCAGATGGACTGGCAGGCGGTGACCTTGCCCTTGCAGAGGACCTCGTTGAAAGTGTTCTTGTTCTGCTCGTCACACTCTTTGCTCTTGGCCTGGCAGTCGGTGAGGCACTTGGCGTTGCAGGAGCAGGTCTGCCCACAGGAGCCCATGCAGGCGGCCTCGCTAGCAGCGCAGTTGATGAGCGGGTACACGTCTACGCACAGACTGCCAGTGGTCTGGCACAGCAGCTTGCAGCCGTCTCCGCACAGAGCCTCGTTGCCGTTCTGAGCAATGGCCGCTCCGACCAGAAGGGCTGCGCACAAGAAGATGCCTGGGAGGTGGAGGGGAAAGAATAAGATTGTATTTGTACATGATTCACACCCCTGTTGACATGATGCCTGTGCAGGATGGGGGGGGGGGGTAGTTGTAATTATGAATATTTTCCGTCCCTGTCGATTTCAGTGTCAATACAATTTGGATCATTTAAAAAGAGAGCTGCTTTGACCCTGCCAGTCAGTGCCAACCTTGGGAGAGTTAGATGTAATACGTCAGCAGACAGACTGGGATAGGTGTACTCAACTTACCCCCCCCCCATTGGGAATCAAACTTGCATTTTATGTGTGCAATGGCGAACAGCCTAACTGCTACGACCACAGAAATGGGGGGGGGGGGGGGGGTTGTTAGAATGGTGGTATTCTATTTTCTATTATGATGTTGTAATATCTTGCAAGGTAATAATAGACCTGGCCTAGAAGGGTGTCTTATTCCAGTTCAGTGCATAGACCACACAGAATAATCAAAATAACTCTCATAACTGTCAATTGTACAGTAGAATTGAATTTTTATTCCTTTGTCTATCTTGAAAAGTGTGTTAAAAAAATGTGACTGGTACCAAAATTTCACTGAATTTCAGTATTTTGTTCACACAAGACCCATTTTTCTAAAAGAAATGTGTTACAAAATGGTATCTGATACTGTAGTGCCTAATGATAATGTGCAATTTTTTTGTGCTCCTGTTTTGATTTTTGATTTTTAAAAAAAAAATTGTTTGTATTTAGATCTCTTTTTGGGTATATACTGGATAAATGTTTGGGTTTTTTTGCTCTGTTACCAGGTAGCTTTTGTTACATGTAACCTTAATTAGCAGAGCGCATGCTGAAATTAGCACTCAGCAAAAATGACCTATTTTGTTTTTCTTAAACATAGGAAATTGTAGAATTTGCAGAAATCAAACGGCTGAAAATAGAGGCTGTGGGACACACTCTCTGCTTAAATAAGTTACCAGAAAGAAAAAATGGTATCCCTTTGTCCCCAAAATTCAGGTTTTAATCCAGGAAAGCTACTTGAGATGGTGCTGTTGTTACAGCTACTCGTTTTGTTTGGCTTGTGTGTCAATGAGGATCATAGAATGTTCCTTTTTTTTTTTTGGTGAGTGTTTTACGGCGCTCGCAACTGCATACGGTCGTATGAGCATGCGGGACGCACCAATCATTTTCAGTTGGTAGAAAATTTTGAAATTTAAATTTGGGTGGCAGCCGAAGCCTACTCTTATCGATTTTGGACCATCATGTGATCTTTAACATGCGCAACTTGCTCACGAGACCTCCGAGATTTTTCGCCCTTGTCCGAGAAGGCTAGGTGTAGATCTTACCTACCAGAAGATCAGGGGTGTAGCAGAAAGACAGCAGTAAGAAGGAGCCTAGGGGTAGCTGTAGAAAGGCTGCCGAAAGAGACAGGAGCCCAGAGGAGGGGGCAAAAGAGGTGAGGGGTGGGGGCAAAAATTGGAGACGAAAGCAGACGAAAGAACATTGTTAGAGAGCAAGAAAGGAGGTGAAAGGAAACAATTTTAGAGCAGAAAATTTCCGTCGCAACCCAGATTCGAACCCAGGACCTTTGAATGAGAGGCGAACACCTTAACCTCTGGGCCACGAGAGCCCTCTGTTCCTTCTTGACTTATACTAAAGAAACATACTTTTTGTAGCAAAATATATTAAAAAGTACTGCTATCTTTTATGTTGTGCTTTTTTTTTTTCAACATGGATTAGGCCAGTGTTTAGAATTGAGAGACCAGCAGAGAGGAAAAGAGTAACTTGATTCAGAGCATAGCTTATGTCTTCACCTCGTGTTCCATGTTGTGTCCGAGGCACCTACTAAGTGATGTCTTGGTTACTTGTCTATTCTCTCATCTTTTAAAAAAAAAAAACTCATAAATTTTGATTTTCTTAATGTTTCACCACCCCCCGGGGCAGTGCCACTGACTGTAGTGTCTTTAGGCCATTCCCAAAGGAGGGACATTTCTCGTTCAAGCATAGTAGAATTGTAAATGGGCTGACTCGTGTCACGCTCATAACTGTGCCTTATCTACAACAGGGAACTGCTGCTTTTTCTTTCCTGATCCTTACTATTGTCATTTTCCTCTACTTCTTTTGTATGTTTGTCACTCTCTTGTGACCTGCTATTTCCGGGGTGCCTTGATAGTGGAAGCAGATCTTGTGCTGTTGAAGCTAGAGAGGTGAGCAGTGTAAGTCTGATTCCATGTAAAGACTTCTCTATTGACACCCACCCCTTGGCGCTCATATGACCTTATGCAGTTGCGAGCACCGTAAAACCCTCTACTATTTAAAATAAATAAATAAATAATGTTTCACCTCTAACACTTTGTGAAAGATATATAATTGAAATTGTTGAAGACAGCCACCCATTGTCAAGAAAAGTGGCCATCTTAGGCAGAACTTATCAAAATGAAGAAAGCAAACGGTTCCTTTCCGAGGTCCCAACTGGAGGCAGTTGCAGGCTTAGGACTGCCGTGAGGCCCATTAAAATGGAAGGTTTTTTTTTGTCTTTTGAATGTTTCATAGCTGCTGTGAGTGTTAAGTTCCATGAAGTTTATCAGGCGAAGAAGAGAGTGTGCTGTGCAAGGGTAAAACAAGATGAAATTTGTTAGACAAGGAAGACTGAGTGCCATGGTAAAACAAACAAATAGGTTGCCACTACTGAGCGAACTAGCCCCACTTCTGCCGCTAGTTCATGTTGACGTCCATTGTTACCGACTGGGTAGACAGAGCAACTGCTCATATCATTTATGGTATAATATGTGTGGTTAGAGCTGTAGGCAGGACAAATGGATTGTGGCGATTCATAAGCTTTCCTCATCAGCAGGTGAAAAACCTTTTACTACCTATGGGTCAGCTTGGGTAAACAGTGAGAGGGACTTGCACAACACGACTGATTCATTCATTGGAGAGATGAACAATAACGAAAGACAAATGGATTAGATGGCTCTTCAGCAGCGTTAGGGGCTGATATAAATATGATTTATGATAATGTGTCAGGCATCAAGAGATTTGCATGTCCGTCTTAAACGGGTTTTTTTGTTTTCCTTTTGGTTGATAAAATATAGCGGCCACAGTTGCGTTGGACAGATTATGGTTTTACGCAGTGTCTTTATACAGAAAACATTAAATGGAAAGTGGCTCTTCGTACCGATGGCTATCTTATACAGGAGGCTGTCTTGGCAGGTTCGATTGTTTTACCAGATCAGTTAAATGCGCAATGGAAATACTAAAATGCAGTCAAACCTCCTCTAACAGCCGTCTGTGCAAGACAATGACCTGTACAAACGGCCACATCAAACTTCCCCCCTTGCATTTTTTCTATTATATCATAAGGTCATGTCCAAAACATCCGCCTGTCTTAAGACAACCACTTCTCTCCTTGACAATAGGTGAGCATCTTGGAAAATTTCAACTGCATTTTTACAATGATGAAAAAAGCCAGCATGTTACTCAACTCACCAAAGGTGTTCATGTTGACAAGTCAAGTAAGCTGGATTGTCCCACTCTAGTCCTTGCTGGATGAGAAAAACTGTAAATATGCAGGACGGAATGGCAAATGTTGGCTCTATTTATACTATTTGTTCCTCAACCATTTGAGCGGCTGTGCTGTTAAGTTATCTGGGGATGCGGATGAGTTCTTGTTCTAGAAATTGATATTGGGCTGTGGAAAATCAGGTGCGTCCTAATTGGTTTTTATTTTTATGTTTAGTTTGGGGGTTTTTTTAAGCTGTGGGTGAAGCAGTCAGGCAATGGATGGCTGCTTCAGCTCAATTTGTCCCTTTCCACCTCTGCCATTAATTATTCTGAGGGTAAAAATGAGTGTCACATTACAATTAGCATAATTTAATTCGGTTTCGCTCCATTTAGGACTAATCAGCAAAAACTAGCCTTGTTGTTTGCTGTGGTTTGGTGCCACTTGACTGGCTTTCCCCACTGTTTTTAGCAATGTTTGAAACCATCTGAGTCAGCATTTTCATTATGAAGGCTGTTTGGTCACAAAAGTACAGTTGTCGAGGAGAAAAGTGGCCATCTTAGTTAGACAGGTGGCCATCTTAGTTAGACAGGTGGCCATCTTAGTTAGACAGGTGGCCATCTTAGTTAGACAGGTGGCCATCTTACAGTGTCATTATAATGTACAAAATACACAAGGGAGGAAATGAGAAGTGGAAGTTTGTACATGTGAAAGTTTACTTTTTTTTTTGTGCCTTTAATTTTAGTCAAAGATTTTCAGTAAAATGAATGGACATTAAAGGGGTTGGGCCATTTTAAAAAAATTCAATAAAAATTGCCAAACTGGTGGAAAAAAAGCCAGTTTCTTCGATTTCACTATTTTGACAAGCGCCTGGTTTCGCCATGATGCCTCACATTTTAATATATCCCAAATTCCCTGATAACTGTAACCTTTCTCCAGAACACACACTCTGCTTCTGCAGTGTCAGCATAAGAATTATCTCTTCAACTGCAACTGCAACAAAAATAGATGATGGAACAAAAGCAGTTACCATGCATCTGATAATGTCAGTCCATTTGATAGTTGTTGTTCGCTCCTGGTAAAGCCTGGCTAGCCTTTGTAAAGCTGCTGTTGGTTGCAATCTTCTTTTTTTTTTTCGAAATTACGTTCACCTTTTTCAATATAATTCTTCTTACTCTTGTTACAGTTAATGATAATAGTGAAGACGGTAGTCTACAATTTATTTCATAGATAAGTTTTCCTCTTTTCTGAAATCTTCATTGAGGACTTGGGCTAAGTCGTGTCAACTCAAGACATGGTATGAGGATTTGGCGTTTATGTTTTGTTGTGTCTTTGAAAAACATAGGCCTGATTGAATCAGAAAAAAAATATTCTCAAAGTTTAATGTAGTTTATTTAGAGCCCATCAAAAAAACTGACTGAATACAATAGATTATTGACAGTCAAATGTTCAGTTTTCTTCTCCTCCTGGTGTCTTAATTTATGTTGACCCATCCAAGTAGAGACTTCTGTCAGTTCCATTTTCTAAAACATTTGTGCTGGAGGAATTGGGTCGGGGAAGTGCTGAAAGATAGGACTTGGTTTGCAAGTTTTGGATAAGGTTATTGGGGACTATCATGAGACGTACGGCTGTCAGATATTTGATTCAAATAATTATATACCTGTCAGTCTCAAAAACTGACATTTGGATGACTTCTATCTGTTTGGTTCCCAAAGATGGAAGAACTTCACCTAGAATTGAAATTTGAGTCTGAAAAGACTTAATACCAACTTTGAAAAAAGACAACCTCATTGGTGTTTATACTCTCTAAGGCTAGACCAAATATGAAAGAGCCCAGCCCATGCCATGGTGGTTGGTGCTGAAAAAAACAAATTTCTTGAAGAAATGGAGAAAGGATTTTGTTGACACTGAAGATCATCATTCTTTCTCATTCTCATTTCATTTCAGCTTGGAGTGGCCAAGGGTAAAACTAAGATTGAAGATTTGAAGACAAAGATAGAAAATATAATCTCCAAACTTCAAGTGCCAGTGCAAGCCTTTGTCGCTACGCATGAGGGAAAGTACAGAAAGCCATGCGATGGAATGTGGAAAAAGCTGAAACATGAGGTATTGTGTCATTGAGATTTGTTGTTTGTACTCTGTACTTAACCTTAATTTACGACTGCTGTGACTGGTGTCTGTGGTGTAATGATTAGATTCTTCCCCATGCGTGGAAAAGAAATGAGCTCAGTTCCCACTGGTGAAGCTATTATATCAAGTTTCTTTGTTTTTCTGCTTGAGAAAGGCTGGACTTGAGGGCCCGAAGCATCCCTCATCCTAAATTATCTAATTGAGATGTTTGGGGCATAAATCATTAATAACAACCGCCCTGTGACATGTTCTGTGTCTTTTCTTCACAAAGAGTGGGCTTAGTTTTACAAGAAATTAACTTTGTCAGTGTAGGATTAACATCACTTTGTGGGTGGTGGGCGGGTGCTCTGGTGTGGTTTGCTACTTCTTTCCTATCAAACTTTCTTCTTCTTCCTCATTCTCGATGACAGCAGCTAGACAGTCAGTCCGATGTCGCGCACAAACTGTGCAGTTCGCTTCAACTCTGAGAGACTGCCATAGAGCTTTTTCTCAAGGGGAGCCACATTCTGCAAACATCTTTCGTCCTGGTCTATTTTCCTTCTTCTTTGTGTTTTTTACTCTCTTGTAACTCCAATAATGTTCGGTTTTTATGACCTTATTGTGTTGCGATTGCTGTAAAACTCTTACTAAAACTGAAGACATCACTTTTTTTTTCTTTCATCAGGGGAGGAAAATAAGTTGTTACTGACATAAAAGTCATATATTATATAGCCCTGATGTGGTTTAGAGAAGAAAAAAAAAGATTCTCAGAATGATGATTATATGAAAAAAATCAACATGTCAATATGAATATCACTATGAGTGGTAGGAGGAAGTGGTAAAAGGTCCTAATTTTTTACCGTCTCTCTACCTGTTTTTGTTTCACTAGTTTCACTTTTTCCAAACACTGAATGACCGTTGATGTGTCTTTTAACTTTTGTGGATTAGATGGAACTGTAACTCTTGAAGAAAAGAAACTGTTTCTACCAAAATTTTCGCTTTGAAAAAGAAAAATCAGAATTGTTCATAGAATGAAATCTGTCATTTTTATTCTTTGTGAACATATTAGCTTTCTTTTTAACCAGGTGTGTGTGTGCATAATGATTAACTGATCTAAAAATGTGTTTTTTATTTCTGACAGTACAATGGTGGTGTCAACTTAGACCTTTCATCTAGTCTCTATGTTGGAGGTGAGTGTTCATTGTACGAGTGCATGTAGTAGTAATAGCTATTTTTAGACAATAGTAGTCTGAAGTTGGTAATATTTTGAGCTATAATGTAACTTGTGTTTACTGGCTTTTGTCACTTGATTATCTGGTGTTATGCTATGAGATGGGTTGGGTGGGGGGAGGGGGTTTTTTTTTTGGGGGGGGGGGGTGATCTTTCAAAGGATGTATTTATGTACAGTAGAAAGAAAAATTTGTTAATTGTGTCATGACGCTGTGGAATCCAGGCGCTCGTCAATTTTTGGGCGTACGGAGTTATCGGTATAATCTTAATGCTTGTCTATTTGTCTTTCTTTCTGTGAAAAAAATACCAATCTGTCTTGAATAGAAGTCGAGATATTTGTGATTGAAGGAGGTGAGGGTAACCTGTTTTCTGAAGTAATATTTGCGAGAAAATGGCCGCCAAAGTTTGGTAACTTCTATAGCTTGAGAGTCCTTGGAAACTGAAAATTTACATATTCTGTGCCTTTAATCAACATTTTAAAGTAAAATCACATTGAAATGTACTTATATATGTGTCACAAAGCGATGGAATCTGGCGCTTGTCAATTTTTCGGCATATGGAGTTACTGGTATCATCTTAAAGCTTGTTCATTTGTCTTGCTTTCTGTGTTCTGTCTTCAATAGAATTCAAGATTTTTGCAGGTGAAGGAGTTGGGGATCGACTGGTTTCAGTGGTAAAAATATTGAGAAAATGGCCGCCAAAATTTGGTGACTTCCAAAGCCTTAGAGTCCTTGGAAACTGAACATTTGCTTTTTTTGTGCCTTTAATCAATGATTTTCTGTAAAATCCACACAAAAATGTGTTTTTAAAATGACATAAAAAGTAATGAGCCAAAAGAAAATTGGCCAAAAGCATTGGCCGTGTGCCGAAAAAAATGCCGATTTCTTAGATTTCGTTATTTTGACGAGCGCCTGATTTCACCATGATGACTCGCATATGGACATAAAAAGTGCTGAGCAAAAAAACAAAATTTCGACAAAAATTGCCAAACTGGAAGAAAAATGCCTATTTCTTAGATTTCATTATTTTGATGAGCGCCTGATTATACCATGATGCCTCACAATTGTGATGTTATCTGAATTATGGTCTGTTGGCTTCCCAGAATTCCTTATATGCCCAAATGATCATGAAGTGGAAAATGAAAAATTAGTTCGAAACCTCCTCTGCAGAAGAGGGCACAGTTGTCCTTTGTTTTTCTCTTATCAAATGTCTATGACCTCCACTTTTTAGTCTGATTTTTTATTGATTCTTTAGGCTCTGTAAGAAAACTCAAAAGAATACCTTTCTCCTTGGCTAAATGGAATCGCTCAGCAAAATGGTATGCACCAGTCCAGACTAGAATTGGTTGCGTCCTGCATTTGCAAATTCAGGCATAATTCTTCCAAATAGTGAGATATCTTTTGTCATGACATTGTTGTGGAAAGGTCAAAGTGTACTGGATTTTCATTCCGTTTTCAAGTCCGCAGGAACTTTACCTATAACGCTCCTTGCTTTCGTTCAATACAAAAGTGTTTTACTCCTGTATTCCTCTATTGACAGACGCGGCTGGCAGACCAAAGGATTGGGCTCCGAAGAAAAAGAAAGATTTCTCCCTCAGCGATCGCCTTGTGAGTGTCTCTCGGTTTGTTATATAAATATTGTAGTGACATCATAATGAGTTTGTGGCTGCTTTTAGATGAAATCAGCTCCATTATCGCATTATCAGGTTGTGGGGGGCGGTTAGGGTTTAATCCCCTGCAAGGGTCAGACTGTAGTGAAAAGATCCATTATTTGGAAAGATTAATGTCTACACTTTGCCCGCGTTTAACCTTATCAAGGCTTGGCTTTTCATTTAGATTTAACACTTGTACTTATCACATGTTTTGGATAGAAGGAAATCCACATTTTTACCACTAATTTCATGTTCTTCTTTTTAAGATTTAATCATCCTTGACGGTGGTATACAAATTAGGAAAAATGTTAAAGAGAAGTACTCTGCAAATTAGGAAATTTGTCAAAAAGAAATAAATGCATTTGGTACCTCACACTCACATGCTGTTAATCCCTCCTCTCCCTTCTCTCCTCCTTCACAACCTCCTCCCCCTCTCTCAGTTTGCAATCAACGTTGGCCTGAAGTTCCACACCCCAGAAGAATTTTTCCTTGGCCAGAAGGAAGCGCCATACACAATGCCTGTCTTTGACCCGGTGAGGCTTGACAGTTTTTCATACTTCACCATCGACAGGCACATAGAAGATTAAAAACTCTAAACAATGAACAGCTCTTTCTGAGCTGGATTTCTGAGAAATACGGAGTCAATACAGATTGAATAAAAGTCTATAATTAAAGTACTGTCAAATTTTCCAAGGCAGCCACCCATTGTTGAGGAGATAAAGAGGTTTTCTTAGACAGGTGGGTGTCTTGGACATTGTCATTATTATATAGAAAATTGAGATTACATTTCTCATGCTTTTGAGTCCTCAAGAAAAAAGTATATATGCTTGTGCACAATCCATATATCTCCAACTTTAACGCTTACAGTACCGTCGGCGAATTAAGTCGCCAGGCCGTAGTATGTGCTCATTACCGCCGACTCGACCGGGCACACTAAACGTATTAAAACAACTGACGGACCCGCTGCACTGAAATAAATACCAAAGAAAGTCACCCTATTTGATAGCTGAGTGGTTGATGAAACTCTGAATTTTTAAAGCATGTTATTTAGGCAGCAAAGGGGGGGGAACGGGGTTTAGTTTTTTAAAATTCTTCAATGGCTTCAGCGTTGTAAACTGGTGCGGTACTTAAGGGTTTTTCCCTATATCATCCTTCAGTACTGTAGGGCCTAAGAATTAAAAGATGATGGGATGAGAGGGGTTGTTTGGTAGATATCAATACCCGGAATACTTTTATCATATTCTATTATAAATTATCGTTTCGTTATGTTCACATCTGTCTTTGTATTTTTATTTTGTGTGGTTGACTACAGAGAAAGCTCAGATCTGATGTAGAGGCCGTACCCCAAGGATGTGATCTTGACTCTAAGAGTAAAGAGGTTTGTGAAATTTGCTCTGCATCAAATAGCTATACATCAAATACCTGATGTATTATTTTTATTTTAAAATATTGAAAAGAAACAGAAGGAGTATAAGATCCTGAGTTTCAAAGTACAAGAACTCTGATATTTTCTCTCTCCCTCCCCCCCCCTCTTAAACCTTCTTTACTTTCCCTGTTTTTTCCATCTGTGTCGTACTTTTTTCCTGCACTAAATGACCATTATTTTTATCGATGTGCTTCTCTTTACTTTCTTGAAAGACTTTCAAACCTACAAGAACTGTGTGGATGGAGGGGGGGGGGGGTAATTTGTTCATTTTTTTCATAGTTATTTTATAATATTTCTGTGAACAAGTCAACTTACAACTTTCTCTGCTTTCAACCCATGGCAACAACTGTTCCATTGATTCAAATAATAGTTTAATGACATACACATCAATGATAATTGTCTCATTAGTAAGCTCGAGAAGGTTAAATAATTACTAATTGTATACCTGTATGGTCAGTGTTTATTTCAAATGGAAATTTTATGTCCCATAGTCACTGGTTCTTGATGCTTACAACATTTTATGCTAATTCACAACATTTTATGCTAATTCATATTAATTAATATCTGAAATGTCATATGTTCTGAATTGTGTTTGTTTCTACCAGCTGACTTCTCATCTCAAAATTGATGTGCGTAGCAAGTTGTTTTTGACAGTCTATAAGAATAACCTTTTTAATTACTCTATATTCTTCTGTTATCACTATCCTACTTGTATGGGCTAAGCTTTTTGGAATTTTTTCATCTTTCAACCATAATTTTATCGTTGAAAGATGTAAAGAAAACGAGAAGTTATTTGATTATCCATTGAATTAAAGTCAATGGTAAACAATTTCAAAGGGCTTTTCTGGGGCACTGTATTTTTTGAGTGGGGGTATTGGTCACTTTTAAATTTTCAAAACTGAATTATTGTTGTAGCTATAGGAAAATCTGAAAATTGTGCTGGCATTACTTAATTTATTCAGCGTCGGCTATCCCCACAGCATCTGATGACATTTTCCCATATTTTTATCTCCAGATAATCCTTCTTGTGGGATTCCCTGCAAGTGAGTTCCTCAGTGCTTTCTTGTCTGTTTCTGTCTGATTTATTTAAATCATATCATGAAATTATTGTTGGGGGGGGGGGGGGTGGCTGATTTTTTTCTCATCATTCATTTGTACGTTCATAAGTGTACAATGTACAAACATAACAAGGAAAGAATGATCCACCAAGTTTCACCATCAGTGGCTTTATGGTTGTCATGGATTCTGTGCTTTCTTTCACTTTTAGAAAATTGTGAATGGAAAAGCTGATGTCTTACCATTTAGAACTTACAAATGTGATGCATTGTGTGGAAGAATGTTGAAAAAAATACTTTGAATTTTATAGAACAATTTTTAAGGATCTTAAATTCATTTGTCTGTTATTGTTTTGTTTTGAATAAAATGAGTTTTTCACAAAGTTTCAATATTTAAGTTGTATTTTATCAAGGTATTGAAAGGGTATATATATATACATGAAATTTTACAGTGATTTTTGTGTGGTATTTTTCACAGTGTGCGTATGATAAGCCTGAATGCATTTCTTTTTGCAAAAACGTTTTTATAAGACTTATGTAGAAAATGGGAAGAACATATCATATCAAACAGATGGAAATTGCCTAGAACAAGAAGGATGAGTAAGGTCATCCGGGAACAGAACACATTCAGCACAAATTTGTCTCCAGAAAGTTCTTCAAATGTTTTCCAGAATGGGATTTATCAAGCATTTAATGAAAAGTGTGCCTTCTTCAAAAATGAATTGCTTTTATGTTATTCAAGAATGGTAATATACTACTCTTTTGTGTTTTCTTTAAATAGCAACTTGTTCATAGTAGTTTAGCTCAGGGTGAGCATCTTTTGAGAATGTGTGAGAGTATGTGTGTATTATGGGCACATGCTTGTGGGAAAACAGCAAACTAGTGTATACCCCCGGGGCAGTGCCACTGACTGAAGTGTCTTTAGGCCATTCCCAAAGGGGGGACATTTCTCTTTCAAGCATAGTAGAATTGTAAATGGGCTGACTCATTTCACACTCATAACTGTGCCTGATCTACAACAGGGAACTGCTGCTTTTTCTTTCCTGATCCTTACTATGGTCATTTTCCTCTACTTCTTTTGTATGTTTGTCACTCTTGTGACCTGCTATTTTGGGGTGCCTTGATAGTCGAAACAGAACTTGTGCGGTTGAAGCTAGAGATGTGAGCAGTCTAAGTCTGATTCCCTGTAAAGACTTCTCTGTTGACACTCACCCCTTGGCGCTCATATGACCTTATGCAGTTGCGAGCGCCGTAAAAACCCTCTACCATAAAAAAACAAAAAAACTAGTGTATGTCTTATCTAATGTTATATTTTCTTATTCTAACTCTTTATCTCCGTGCCGGGGGGGGGGGGGGGGGGTGTACCCTCTGTTGTGGACCCCTTCTTTGGTACTTAATCTGAAAATGACGAAAACATCACTAATTGGGTCATTGAATCAAAACCAGTAAACCTATTTTGATAGTTCTTCTTCTAATGAATCAACTCCCAATAAAAGAGATCAGTTTTTGGCAATTGCCGAAAAGTAATTTGATGCCGAAGTCGTTTTAAAGGAATGCGCACAGCGGTTCCAACCGCGAGCCTCTGGGAGCGGCTTGCCAGAGATAGAAAGTTAATGTAATTTAAAACTATCTTGTTTTTGTGTTGTTTTTAACTTTCTTTTTCTTTTTCTTCAGGTGGCAAGTCTCATTTTGCATCACATATTCTCAAACCTAAGGGTTATGAATGTGTGAATAGGGTGAGTTTGTCTTAAGTAAAATGACATCATTAAATAATCTTGTCATCCTGGCTTTGCAGCTCTGTTGATGTGAACTTTATTGCTGTGTCTTTCTAGATGTTTCAGAAATTACTTTAGAAGCCGTTTCATAGGGTTTTTTCTTTCAGTAAGGTGAATAATAGTGTGTGCACGACCGTATGTAAGCAACAACGCTTGGGCCTCTCATTGGCTACTCTGTTCTTTTCAGATTAGTATTTGTACTTGTCAGATTTTACCAACCATGTTCGGTATCTTATTTTTGGAAATAACTTGCCTTAATATCAAGGTTAAGTATGAAAAATCTCCTTTCTTTCGAAATAAAAAATTGATGCTTTCAAATAAGAATTATTACTGTACAGTTTAATGGGTTTCTTCTTTTACTGTAGTCGAACAAAAATGTAAAGCACGTTGCATGCTATTTTTCTTGTTCTATTGTTATCCCTGCGTATTCATTTCCTTTTGTTTGTTTGTTTTAACTGTCTGTTTTGTTTCTCTTTTGCTATTTCCACTCTGAAGGACACTTTGGGTACTTGGCAAAAGTGTGTGAAGAAGGCAAAGGAGTCTCTTGTGCACAGCAAGGTTGTCGTTGAGAACACAAATCTGACAAAGGAAGAAAGAGCCAGGTCAGTTTTATTCATCTTTAAGCGCCAGGTCTGATATGGACATAAGCGATCATAGTTCTGGAATTTTTTTTGTTTTTGCACAGATGCTCTACAAAAGAAATCGTTATCAACTAGTATTTTTCTTTTCTGATCACCCACTTGTTTAAGTTCTCTAAATAAGTTATTCTTTGTCTGTCTCAAAGAAAACCCTTCTCATTCCACTGGGATTTCTTTCAGCGGCAAATTCGGCTCTGTACGGCCCTTAGAGCCTTCTATTACTTCTACTTCTTTATAAATTTCCATTTTTTTCTATTAAATTTTGAGATTTTGGAAAGTACACATTTTTTTGTTCTTGTCTTCATTTGTGTTACGACATGGTGGAATCGGACGCTCCTCAATTTTTGGTATAGAGTTATTGGTACCATTATAAAGGTTGCTCATTTGTGTTGCTTATAATAAAAAATTACCCATCTAACTTGAACAGAAGTCAAGATATTTAGATTTGAAGGAGGTGGGGTTGCCTGATTTAAGAGGTAAAATTAGCAAGAAAATGGCCACCAAAGTCTGGTGCCTTACATTGCTTGAGAGACCTTACTTGGAAGCAAATAATGTACATTTTTTGTAGCGTTTTATCAATTTTTTAAAATTGAAATCTTCACCGAAATGTGTTTTTCAATAGATATATAAACGGTGTTGTACCAAAAAAACAAAATATGGGCTGATTTATCAATGTCGTGCTCATACTGTACCGGAACAACATACGGGGAAGTGCTGCTTTTTCTTTCCTCAGCTTTACTATCGGCCTTTTTCCTCTACTTCTTTTGTATGTTTGTCACTCTCTTGTGAACTGCTATTTCCGGGGTGCCTTGATAGTCAAAGCAGGCTTTGTGCTGTTGAGGCTAGAGAGGTGAGCAGAGTAAGCTTGATTCCCCGTTTAGACTTCTCTGTTGACATCCACCCCTTGGCGCTTATATGACCTTATGCTGTTGCTTTTTCTTGACATTAGATGGCCATCTTGCACAATTTTAACTATATATATATAATATATATGTGTGTGTCATGACGCGGTGGAATCAGGCGCTCGTCAATTTTTGGGCATGTGGAGTTGTTGGTATCATCTTAAAACTTGTTCAGCTGTCTTGTTATCGGTGAAAAAAATACCCATCTATCTTGAATAGAAGTCAAGATATTTGAGATTGAAGAAGGTGGGGTCGCCTGGTTTCAAAAGTAAACTTAGTGAGAAAATGGCGGCCAAAGTTTGGTTATTTCTATAGTCTTGATAGTCCGTGGAAACTGAAAACTTACATTTTTGGGACATTTAGTATTTAGTCAACGTTTTCCAGGAAAGTCCACCCAGAAATGTGTTCTTAATTGGACAACAATAGTGTTAAGCCAAAAAACTAAAGTTCTATAAAAATTGGCAAACTGTCTGGAAAATGCCTGTTTCTTCAATTGCATTATTTTGACGAGCGCCTGATTTCACCTCGCTGCTTATATACTATATATTAGTGCATCTCCCCAGTTCAATACTTACAAGTTTCATATTTGTATGTGACTGGGGCAAGACTGTAGACCTGGGTATGCTCAGTATACATAGTTTTGATAGATTTGTGAAACTACTATTTATTTATGTATTCAATCTGTTTTATCTCTTTAGTGGGTGGTTGGCGGGTGCTTTGGTGTGGTTTGCTTCTTCTTTCCTATCAAACATCTATCGTCCTTATCTCCCCTTCTTCTTTTTTTATGTTTGTTACTCTCTTGTAACACCTCTAATCTTCTGGCGCTCATATGACCTTATGCAGTTGCGAGCGCCGTAAAACCTCTACTCGTACCTAAATCTGTTTTAGTGGATTTGATGGAGATAGAACTGTACAGAGGCAATTACAGTAAAGTTCAATTCCCGATTTTGAAAAGTTTGACCTAGTTTGTAACGTCCAGGGCCTGTTGATGGCGTCAGTGGCCTAGGGGTTAGGCTCTCAGACTCGCAACCGTAAGTCGTGGGTTCAGATCCGGCCAGGAGCCCAACGTTATGTCCTCGGGAAAGGCACTTTACGCAAATTTTCCTCTCTTCACCCAGGTGGGAATGGGTACCCAGCTATAGAACGTGAAAGATCTTGTCAATTTGTTAGTGTTTGAGCGCTTAATCAGCTGCTTGCACTGTATGCTTCCCAGGAAGCGGAGGATGTTTCTGAGTGTTCTATTTGCCTGCTGGGTAATAATATAGGGTAAAGCGCTTATAGAGCTTGCTGACGAGTGGGGATATGCACTATACAAATGCTATTTATTATTATTATTATTATTAATAACATCAGGTATGCAGATGACTCAGTTTTAATAGCAAGCTCAGAAAAAGACCTTCAATTGCTTCTAGATACTGTTGTAACAGAAAATGAATGTAAAGAAAACAGAATGCATAGATAGTGATATCCAAAAAAGCAGCGAATCCTAGTTGTATTAAGTTGTAATCTCATTAGCAAAGGTGAAAAGATCAAACAAGTCAAACAGTTTAAATTTCTAGGATATGTGATAACATCTGATGCCAAATGTTCCACTTCCACAGAAATAGAACGGAGAATTACAATGGCTAAGGCTAGTTTCAATAAAAATGAGCCCAATCCTGAAAAATAAAAACATCTCAATGAACACCAAAATGAAAGTTCTGAAATGCTATGTTTGGTCAACCCTTCTATATGGCTGTGAATGCTGGACAATCACTAAAGAGAGTGAAAATAAAATAGAAACAACAGAAATGTGGTTTCTTGGGAGACTTCTAAGAGTATCGTGGAAGGAAAAGAAACCAAAAGAGGTAGTTCTTGATGAAGCCCACGTGGGACATTCAATGTTAAAAACAATCAGGAAACGACAAATGCAGTTTTTGGGACACCTGAATAGACATAAGGGTCTTGAACATCTAGCTCTCACTGGCAAAATTGAGGGCAAACGAGGCAGGGGTAGGCCCAGAACAACATACTTAGGGAACCTAAACTAATGGGTAACAGGGAAAGATCAGGGAAACATAGCTTTTTTTGAGAGCGTCAGAGCAAAGGAATGAATGGAGAACCATGATCGTCGACGTCTGTCACAGATCTGGTACTGGATGATGATTATTATTATTATTATTATTATAGTTATGTCTTATAGAAACAGGAAACGGAGCACTGTGATTGTTATGATGCACAAAGATGTTGGGGGCTAAAATGTACTTTTACCACAGAGATTCATGTGCGGAGCTCTGGTGTGGTTTGCTCCTTCTTTCTTATCAAACGTCTATCGTCCTGATCTCTCCTACTTTTTTGTGCTTGTTGCTTTCTTGTAACACCTCTGGTCTTCGGCACTTATATGAACTTATTGTGTTGTAAGTGCCGTAAACTCTTTCTAAAAAAGCTAAAGAGACATGTGTATGAAATGTGAGTGTGGCAGCTCCATCGTACAAGGAAAATGTAAGTAGTTTAGTTTTTTTTTCAAAATTGTGGCAGAAATTCATTGCATATATTTCATTGGTGACGAACATTCATTTCCTTTCAGATACGTAGAGCTTGCCAAAGATGCACATGTTCCATGTCGATGTTTCTTGTTTACCACAACCATAGAACACTGTCGTCACAATGAAAGGGTTAGTCTTATGCTTATAACTGTAATGATAAAACTAATAATTTTTTATGAATTGCTACTTTCTGTGACTTGATGTTGACTTGTATCTAACTGTTGTTTTCTTATTTTTGTTGATTCTTTGTGATTTTATTTTGCTTGTGTATTGATTAATTTTTGGCTGCCGGTATTTTCACGACATGACGGGGGAAAAATCTATGTGCGTTTTCGCAACCTGTTTTTCTCTTTGGACCAATCAGTAAACAGCTGGGTCATGCCAGGGGTAAGACTCTCTGCCCTCTGCTGACCATGCTTCTCTCTCTCTCTCTCTCTCAGTTTCCCCCCCCTCCTCTCTCTCTCTCTCTCTCAATAAGAATGGCGGATGCAAATCCCTATCTCTTCGAAGCAGGGCGAATTTTTAAATCGTATTGTGAGTTTGAGGAAGAATTTCAGAAGTGTTACGGTACAAAGTATGTTTTCAGCAAAAAATCCTCGAAATCAGTCACCACCAAGAACAACAACCAGACAAGTTGAAACACTACGCGGCGGAGTGGCAGTAGTTCTAAGTTCAACCAGTTTTTGATTTGTAAACATTAATATGAAAGCTACGACAGCATAGACCCATCAAAGACACTGCACTAGGTCTTGATTTTTACAGTTCCTTATATGGTAGTATATTTTATTTATAACACCAATTTAGAGGGTTGAAATCATATACAGATCGACATTTTCATTCAAGGTTAGATCTTGAGTCTTCCTTACTTAGTTAGATCTAGGCCTACCCCTTACTCTTAGAAACCCCTCGAGCTCTCTCTGGCTAAGTGGCGAACGATTGCTGGCGATGGTTAGACCTAGAATCTAGGCCTACTCAAGCCTACTGTGACATGGATCTAGTTCTTCCAGTGCATTAAAAAAAATTACATGTCAATGTTCTTGTACTTGTGAAAAAGGCCCTTCTTCAAGAATCGTGAAAGTAGGTTTACTCTCGACGCCCATCACAAATCCGGTAGTTTTGACGCCTTAATCGGAATGGCTACCGAAAAAATTTTTATTTTAGCTGCTAATACCAATAGGCCTAGACTTCTGCTGTAAGAGCCGGTATGTCTTCGACATGTCGTGAAAATGCACGTAAAATTTTTTTTCCACAACAGGTCGTCAAAAGGCGCAATTTCTTTTCCACGAAAAAGACCGGCTGCCTTAGTTTTTTAAAGAAAAAAAATGTCATGTCTGAAAACACTGCTCCAAAAAGTTCACTTTATTGAAAAATGGGTATTCAGTTTTTAAAATTTCCTAGACTAACAAAGTGGAAATTTTTTTTAAATTTATGTTTGTTCAATCAAATGCTCAAATTACAGTCTCCATGCATGGTGATTTAAGGTGAAAGTGGCATGTGCAGTATTATTTCTGTTGTCCATCTTTATTTTAACAATTATTAATTAAGAAGCAGTTAAGATAAGATAACATACTACTTTGTTGACCTGTGGGAAGTTTTTCTTAGCATTCAGGAATGGTAAAAAAAACACATGTAGAAGTAGAAATGATACATAGAATTTAAGTTGTATTTTCCTTTCATGAAAGAAGTCCAATATGACAAGGGAAAAAAAAAGCTGGCAACAATAGGTTACCTCGTATAAGATTTTTCTCTCAAACCACATGCAAGAATTGATCATAGATTTATTTAAAATTTATTTAGATTCTCCTAGAGCTTTGTACGCATCTGATTTGATTCTTTCTTTCAATTTTACTTTATAGTAATCTTTTCTTTGTCCTGTCCACAGTTTAGACAGCTCATTGACAAGTCTCATGCCAAGATTAATGAGATGATCTTCCACCAAATAAAGTAATTTTTGTCTCGTCCTTATCTTTTTTTGTTGTAAGGTTGCAAGATATTATTGAAAGGACTTAGCATTTTATTAAGTTTTTATTTGTGTTATAGATTTGAAAAGCACTTCCTGAGATAATATTTCTATTATAAGCATATATATATAACAGTTGGGTTTTTTAATTGCTCTGTAAATGATGCACACTTTCTGTGTTAAACAGTGGCTGGTTTTTAACCACTAATAAAAATGTGAGATTTTGCTTGTATTTTGTTCTTACCATTCTGAAACAAAAACACGTTTACTTTTGAACTTTTTTTTTCAGGAACAAGTACCAAGAACCAAGTATGAATGAAGGTTTCTCCAAGATTGTCAATATCAACTTTGTCCCCAAGTTTTCTTCGACGTCTCTGGAAGCACAGTACAAGAAATTTTTATTAGAGAAATAACCATACTATTTACTCGTTTACTGCCAAATTTCTCACATCATTTGATAGTAAGAATCATGAGTCAGCCTTTTTTGTGGATCAACTAAGACTTCACTCCTCAATTTGATGAGTAATAATTTCCCTGACGCTGTACATTATGTTAACCCTTTCAGCCCCAGCCATTTTTGTGCACTCCCTAACCCCAGTCCCAGCCAATACAGTAGTATTTCAGAAAAAGAGGCATTATTTCTAAAAAGTGATGTAGTATCTTTGTAATGTAGCTTTGATAATAACATATACCAATTTTTTAAGATAAATGAACAAGTAATAAGAAAATTAAAGTTTAATCAAGTTCGCTAATTTCGAAAAATGTGCGAATTCGGTACCAGAATACGCTCTTGGGACGGAGGGAGGTACAAGCGCTGCTGAAAATATACACGCTTGGGGCTGGAAGGGTGAAAAGAGAATGAGGAAAAAAGTAAGGTACTATATATACACTTGCCTGCAATACAAACAATTGTTCCCAACAATGAGGTCCAATAGTATACCCCCTTATTATACATACGCCATAAAGCCAGGATCGGGCCCAACAAACGAGATGTGATTGTTATGACCTGCTGATTTAATAAAATATTTAGATATATTATAATACATTATGGCTTCTAGATAGGAAGTTTGATCACCTCCCTCAGCAATCTCACATATTTATTCGGTTTCAATGCTCCAACTGTTCTCAAAGTGAAAACACTTATTCAATGCCTGACTAGTACCATAGAACATGACTATACTGGCCCTGCAGAAAATTGCATTTTTTTCAATAGAAAAATTGCAAGGTAAACTGCCTAAAAATTGCTAAAAATTGCAACCTTACCGTGTGGGCTTAAAATTTTTAGTTTAAAAAAGATGACAATTTGAGTACCGGTAGCATAAAAGCAAAACAGCCTTTTTAAAAAAAGATCTAGAAGTGTAGTATGAGGCGTAGTCTTTTTTTTTTTTAAATGATGGGAGATTCAAACGACCTCTAAATGCAAAATTAGCTGATGCCCCAATCAATTCAGATCATATTCTATTTTTCTCTTGATACTTTCGATACACCGGTAATCTGTATTTAGATCTATTTCAGATATTTTCTTTTTTCAAACTAGTATGGATTTGTTTTAACTCTAGGTCAAGTCCTTAAATACAGCAAATTTTTTTTCTACATTTAATAGTAATAATAATGTAGATCATTTCTATAGCGACCACTCCCGTGGGAACGCAGCTTAAGGCGTTTTACATATATTTTATTAAGGGAGTGTCTACATACACGGTAACCGGGCACCTAGCCTCGGAGGCTACGTACACGGTAACCGGGCAGTTCAGAACTCAAAGTTCGGTTTTTGTTATCCGGTGTTACCTTCAACCCCAGCCCTCCCCCGACTGTACCTTTAAAAAAAATCAATAAACCCCCCTCTCCGGAGCCCTATACTTCGCAGCACACAGACTGAATGAACTTTAGTGACCCCAACCTGTACTCACAATGTGATGCGAAAGCACAGGTTCACTTACCGTTCACGATGGCGAGACCGACAAGACGTTTGTACATGTACGACTTTCTTTTTTTTTTCAACAAGTGACAGCACAGGACAAATATTGATTTATTTTCATTCCAGTTACCGTGTACGTAGATACCTAGACTAGGTGCCCGGTTACCGTGTATGTAGACGCAGGCATCATGTTCGAACAATATTCATGTGCGCGCACGCACACACACACACACACACACACACACCTACACCTTACACGTGCACACACATGCACACTACACACACGCACACACCTACTGTCTGATCACACGCGCACGCATACACTTACACACATTAGATCTCTATGTCTCAGTTTGTGTTGTAATGATGTATCCCAGCCTAAATTTCTGATTAAAGCTTTTTGGAGTACGCACAGTAGACTAGAGCTGGGCCGAAACCATGATTTACGTAGGCCTATCGGCTCTGTACTCGCACCATTTCGAATTAAAAATTCTGTTGAAATTAAAGCGTTGATGTTATTTTGCCTAAAATTTCAAGAAATTGCAAAAAATTGCGGCTTTATTGCGGAACTCGACGAAAAACGTGGGCGCCAGTGCGGCCACAAGACCGCGATTTCCTGGGGGGCCAGGCTATAGTGGTACCCTTTTCTTTTTGTATATATGTAAACTCAATTACCTCTGCTCGGGTACAACAGGGCAAGGAAAATAAAATAAATACGAACTTGGATATAGTGGGAGAGATAGAGCGAGTTCTAGCTGGGGAGGGAAGGGGGTTGGGGGGCTGTAGGAGGGCTCCAAACAGGCAGTCAGCGGTCCGGCATTGTGATGGGCCAGTCCTGTGATGAATAAGGTGGGGCAGGCGGCAGAGAGAGATGGTGCGGAGAGAGGCATTACGTGAGCCACTCCAAAAGTGATGTGCCGTAGCATCACCTAGGAACTATTTTGTCCAAAGTGCCTCTTTAGGCTGCTTAAGTACACATCAGATTAAATAGTTCTGAGGTGGCGATAGGCCTAACCTTGTAAGAAATAGGCTTAGGCCAACAAGTAAGAGAAGAGGAGAGCATTGAATTGCGATCGTTGATGCTCGGGCATACGCACGCATCCACTTCACCAATTCTACAGTGGTGGTAGGCCTACCGGTATGATAGACAGCACAAGCAACAAGACCGTGGAAAAGATGGCTTCCAACAAGAACAAATGGAAATGCTTCTCACTTGAATTAATCAACGAAGTTTACAAGAAAAGGAAGACTAATCAAAAGCGCACATTTTTATTGGTATGGGAGGGAGGTAATCATGTGAATTTTTTGACATTTTTCAATAACTCCCCTTTGCATTCCTATTACAGGATTTTGCCTACAGCAGGATTTTTCTGCTGGAACCAAACGTCCCGCTATAGCCATGTTCCACTGTACTTGATTTTATGCCTGTTGAGCCCCCATGTTGAGCATGTCAGATATTCACAATTCACTCTGTGTTAAATATATGCATTTCCTACCCAATTGGGCTCATTTTGGATTCCAAGTAGTCAAACACACCTTACACAACCCCCCCTTCTTGATTTTGTTTTTCACCTGCCTGCTTTGACAAATGATTGACACACAAGTTATGATACTGCTATCTCTGAATTTTGCTCACATTAATGATAAGTAACTACCTGAATGTTTATGTTTCTGAGTGAAAAGTATACAAAATCATTGCATGAGCAAACTTGACAACTTTTTCTCCATAGGGCGGCAGGGCTGCCCATCGGTATGAAATTAGTGGCGTCATTACGATTTTTGTTCAGTTTTACAAATACATTATTGTAGGACCCCTGATTCTGATTTTTTTATAGATTATTTGCCGTTCCGCTATCCCAACCCAACCCCACCCTCCCACAATCAGACCATGGCAGTCTATGTCTACTCACTGCGTCACTAGCAGCTTCTTGCACCTTCTGTGCACAGAGTCCATTGTAGTTGTCCAGAGTTGCTTTGCCCTTAGAAAAACATTATTTGCGCCAAAGCCAGAGAAAGCATACATTAGTAATCGGTTACTAGTAATCGACTACGCCCACCACTAAGATCTAGGACTGGTGACATGTACTGTTGGTTGCTTTTGTTTTAACAAGAGTCTAGTAGACAGCCAGTAACTAACCC